TAAGGCCAGGAGCCCCTAGTAGCTTCTTGTTACTAGTAGCGATGCCCCTGTTACTATTCAACTCCACATCCGACTCGGCGACTCCGCGCGACGCGTCGCGACGCGGCGTCGCGACCGGGCACCTCTGGCGGACGAGGAGGACCACGTGGACCGCTCCCTGCGGTGCTTCGCGCTCCAGAGTCGACGGTCCAGAGGAGCAGGGAACCGTTGCGCCTGCAGCGGAGTTCCACGATTTCGAACTTGCAAGCGGGGAGGTCATACTTATGGGTGCCATACATGGTTCCAGACTTCTAGATATTGGCAACCTGGACCGCGTTGATGTTGGAACAGGTTTAAACGTTTAACACTTAGCCCTTGGGCCCTTGGCCCTGTCGGCACACCATACTTAAACTGGGGTGGTGTCGGCGCCAACCACTTGGGAGAACGAAAGTGCTAGGCTAGTGCTCCTAAGTTTCATGGTTCCGCTGACGTTCTGGTGCCTCCATGGGAGGTTCCATGTTGGCCCTACATGATGAGCCCGGCTCACGATTTACCGAGCATTGATCTTGGAGTGTGAGCCCCTTGTCATTCGACTTCATGAACAAGACATCTTTAGTACGTTTTCCAATGCTACCCTTTTTCCAATGAGGTTCTGGAGTTATGCGCCCGTTCAGGAGTTATAGGTGCTCGAGTTTTGGGCAGTGTGGACTCCAACCGCTCGGCCTGTCGGCATTTTGAGGACCCTCAGACGGGCAGATGTTCTTGAGGGCGATGTGGGGGATGATCCACTCCTTGAAAAGATTCATCAATTGATCCGCTCCTCTGGTAATCACCCAGCATTTTGGTGGGTTTTCCGTGTCAGCCCGTGTCAGCCATTCAGCCAGCAAGGGTGTCAGTGGGTCTTAGCATCGATCCGATCAGGGCGTTCAATCGGATCACTCGACAGCTCTTAGCCGCTCACTGTGGAGTCCGTTCTGGAATGACCAACTGACGCGTTGTACCAGAGCTTTTCAGGTTCATGACTGTCTTAGTGACTCCACGATTTCCTACTTAAAAACCAAAGCACTTCGGTGGACTCTGTCTACCGTAATCGGCCTCAGGCTGATCCGGGCCTTTATCAGCTGCTCCATGCTTTCCGCTTGTTTCGAAGAACGGCTCATAAAAGATCATAAAAGTGTAGCAGTGCTGCTGGACTGGCAATAGCTACCACTTCGCAGGTTGTGAGTTCAAGGTGGCTTCCTGGTTCTTCACAAACAATACACGTGCAGAGCTTACTGCTGCTTTGATTTCTGCGGTCAAGTGGAGTCTTTCATGTTGGGATTAGCTGAAGCCTTGTTTTGTTTTTGGATGTTGGTGTTCGAGACTCATATGCTGGCAGCTTTGTTGAGATTGTGCTTTTAATGTTTTTTTTGTGGTTGTGGAGTTGCGCTTGGCTCTCCCTTACTCCAACTCTTCTCAAAGGCGGTACGAGTATGACATGGCCCCTTATCATGGCCTGGCCATTTTTGTCGACCCCTCCTTACTTTTTTTTGTTCTTCGATTGGTGCGGAGTGCTTTGAGAAGAGCGTGTAGGCACTTGTGTAAGCATATGTATCATATTTAGTTGGAGGGATCACGCTTTTCTGGTTTTCACAAGTCCCATTGTCGGAATTCGCTTTCGCCTGCCGATGGGCTTTCGCTTCGTTATGCTTCGTTGGCCACCTGACAGGCTAGCTTCTGCCTGGGTCTGGGGCCGTCACGGCCTCTCGGCCACCAGGCCCTTGGCTTGAAACTGGGTTCCTTGTGATCTAAGCTTCGCATGGATCGGAGTGCAGTCAACCATAAAGTTCAAAGATGGTCTCAAACCAGCTCTGAACATGAGAGATTTCGTTCATCCGGACATTCACATCTGGTCCCCCCTACTCTCCCTGAAATCACCGCTCCGCCTTGCCGCTGGAGGGCACGGCACCGGCGGTGTGGCCTGCCGTGCCGCCGCAGCGACCGACACCTGGCGCGGTAGCACCGAACGAACTTCACCGTGCCGTACCGATGTTTCGCGAAAGATCAAGATCGACTGGTCACAGGTGCATCGGATCGACTGTTCTCCACTGAGATTGAGCAGACCGATGCAAACAGCACCGCGAATCCTTGGACTCTTAGGACCTATGGACGCTTCAGAGTGGTGGGGTCCGTTGGATCCTTCGATGTGGGTATCAACGTTGGGCATGATCGACGTTGGTATCACATTTGAGAAGGGAGGAAGCTTCACCCATCACGTGCGCCTGTGTTGCTATTGTAATTAGATGTTTCCGGAAATATGAAAGCTTTGGGATTCTGACAAGGGAAAAGAGTCAAAAGAGCACCCCTCCAGCCATCCCAAACTCCCAACATCCAGATATCATGTTGTTTCTTGCCAAGTGCTCGCAGTCTGGATTTCTATGGGCTCCCTGCCATATACGGCCTTTCCTTTGAAAGAGTCGCTCGTTGAGCTAAAGTCCAAACTCACATCTTCTGGAACGATCATGGCATATGCGAATGTTGACAATTGGACCATATGTTTCAGAACTCTCTTGAGGGGGTGATGAATAATGATTCATCAATAATGTCATCATAGTGAACCCCAAAGCCGCACCAGTCACTATAGCTTTCCGTGGTCCAACCAATTCTCCGTGCTCCTCCCATGTCCCAGTTCGGTCCCAAGCGAAAAGCACCATCCTTCTCTGTCTTTTTCGGGTGCGACGTCGCGGCTTCTCCCGTCCCCAGCCACCGACCCAGGGCGTGGACGCGGGTAGGTAGGCCCTTCGGGTGTGAAACGGCAGGTCTTGGATCTTCGGGGAGGGTGACACTCTTCGTCGAGCAGCGCAGCTGAAGATGAGGTTCGTTGGAGCAATTTTGCCCGGAGTTCAAAGGCACGTACATGGAACCAACCCAGCTTAGGAGAAGGACACCTGTGAAGAGGATCTTCTACCTTTTCTAGTAGATATGTCTGAAACCAGCGCTGCCGTTTCCCAACGCACGTCCCATGTTCCGTTTCGCTAGTGTATGGCCTCGTCATGGCTAGGCAACCGGAGTGACTCGATGGGCAGGGTATGCATTCCAGGACCCCTCTATATATATATATATATATAAAGGGAGCCTATTTTAATACCCTGCAGATCAAAGACCTCATTTTACTGGAGACGGTCATACAACGGCACAAAGGACCAGGTTTTACTCTGTCTTGGGAATTGTAGCGATGGCCCCTTAGAGGTCACGGATGGTCACATCCTGTGACTATTAACCACCCCGACTGTGGGTCCTGATACAGCTAGCGCTTCTTCTTAGCTGAAGCAGAAGGAGATGGAAAGACCAAAGGGGTTGGAAGTTCGAGCTATTCTTCACAGTTTGGAGAGTCGTCCCTGCCGAAAGAATATCCAAGAGCCGTCGTGCAAAGGCTTGGGCGATGTGACCTTCCTGGATCAACTCCAGTCATGCCACTGCAGGATTGTACATGGTTGTACTATCCAACCCCACTGTTGCTGGCCCCAGCAAAAGACTCCAAAGCCTAGAATTATACAAATCGATTGGATGTTTCTGATCTGTTTGAACCTCTTGATTCATTTCTTCCGCTTTCCGACATAAACCCTTTGGTTGATGCCACGCCTCTCCTCCTGGATGGGCCAATGGGGGCTCGGCCAGACTCTTCAGATCACGTCGCACCGCCATTGTTACCACGGAGCCACCGGAGCAACCCCCCGGAGCCACCGGAGCAACGTCACACGCGCACGGAGTGTACCGGCTCTCTTGGCGGTCTCACTTCCTGCAAGTCGCAGATTCAAACAAAAAGGGTTCATCAGACCAGTACGGCAGGGAAAACAAAGAAGAATCCGGGCCATTGTCTTAGGGAAAGGAAGAGCGACCCGAGCAGGGTTACTGTGCTGACCGCCCAAAACAATAAAGGGTTGAAAAGGAAAAACACCCGAAGGTTTCAGCCTTTCATCTCAACCTCAAAACAACATGGACTTCCCCGGTGCCCACCACTCGATCCACCTGCAGAAACAGAACGCCTTCCACCCACCACAACACGTTTTCCAACTTCCACCGTGTTCGTCGTCGTGTGCCAAGGGGCCGGCACCCGGGCGGTGGGTTCCGCCTCCATTGGCTCGATGTCTACTGGATCCCCAGCACCGGTTGGCACCTGGGGAGCTGAGGAGCAGGCAAACTGGGTGAGGCAGGGCACCAAGCAAGCGGAAAAATGGAAGATCTGGGGTTCAAACGAGGCACGCCAAATGCCCATATATATATATATATATGTGGGTGTATGCGTATGTATACATACTATCTCAGGGGATCCAGGCAAACCACCACAGCGGGTCACCAATTCCAAAGACGGCAAAACCTGGTTCCATAACATAGTGGTAACCAGGATACTCAGGGGGTATCAGTTTCCTTGAACACCGCTTCGTCAAGAAGACTCCTTTGACCATGTCCACCCCGAATGTCATGATGTGAATTTCAATGTTTGAGGAAATTCCTTTTTCAGTGCGTGGCGTCTAGGTTTCAAGCCACCCGGTCGCTCGGTCGACTGCGTCAGGTCCGACGTCTTCCGTCTTGGTTGGTTGGAACCGAGCCAAAACATGTTCGGCGCCGGTCTTCGAAGATCGTTGGCTTCCCCACAGACTGCCAGCCGAAGATCATGACGAGAAAGGCAAAGAACAACACGAACCTGGGCAGGATCAGATCTCCTCTACAATGCAAAACATCAACAAACATCTAGAATTGAAATTTTAGAGGATGCCTAGTACACCTCACTACTTTTCTTGCGCCGGCGCTTGAACATAGAGGAATACCTAGATCAACAGGTAGCAAGCAGCACTGCCAAGAGTTTCTTGTCGGTGTGGGCGGATCTTGTTGCTGGATCTGCTCTTGCGTTCTGACCTCTTCAAGAAAGAGCGTTGAACATTCATCATAGCAGTTAGCATGTGTATATCCGCAGACCCCGGCCAAGCCAAAGCCTAGGCGGGCGTTGCTTGGGATACCGAAGGTTGCAAGTGCAGAAGCAGTTGCCCTGGCAGTGGCCTTGCCATCTCACTGGACAGCTGCATAGCGCCGCACTTGCGCGCAGAACAACGTGGGCTAAGGCTGTGGTGAGGGCTGCCACGCCTCAGGCCGTGGGCTTGCACACCTTTTCCTGGTGGGCTTCGAAGCTGCTGTCTGGACCCTTTCCAGCCGCACTTGTGCGCAGAACAACGTGGGCTAAGGCTGTGGCGAGGGGAGCCTGCCAAGTGAACTGCTTCAGTTGGATCGCCCGTGTATAATAGATCAATGGGTGCCCCCCCGATGACGACAACGGAGTGGGCACCACGCCAGGCACCCATCTTGAACCAAAAAAGGTCCGCAGTAGCAGGGGCATTAGCCCATATTCTCTATATATTATATTATATATATATATTATATAATATATACATATAAACAAAATAATATATATACATATATATACAATTATATACATATATCCGGCCAGGGGCCCGGTGAGGGCCCCGGCAGGGTGTGTCCTCAAATTTAAGGGGCTGACGCCCACCAGCGGGCCAGCAGGCCAACCATCAGAGGTTGTGTGTTGCTGCTGGTGTTGTGGTTGTTGTCGTGGTCATTGGTGTTGCTGTTGTAGTTGTAGTTGTCGTTGTGGTTGCTGTTGCTGCTGCTGCTGCTGGTGCTGCTGTTGTTGTTGTTGTTTGTGGCTGTGGTTGTCGTTGTCGTTGTTGTCGTCGTTGTGGTCGTTGTGGTCGTTGTCGTCGTTGTCGTCGTTGTTGTCGTCGTCGTCGTGGTCGTCGTGGTCGTCGTGGTCGTCGTGGTCGTCGTGGTCGTGGTCGTGGTCGTGGTCGTGGTCGTGGTCGCTGTCGCCGTCGCCGTCGCCGTCGCCGTCGCCGTCGCCGTCGCCGTCGTCGTTGTTCTGGTTTTTGTTATTCTGCTTCTTCTTCTTCTTCTTCTTCTTCTTCTTCTTCTTCTTCTTCTTCTTCTTCTTGTTCTTGTTCTTGTTCTTGCTCTTGTTGTTGCTGCTGCTGCTGTTGTGGTTGTTGTTTGTTGTTGGTTGTTTGTTTTTGTGTTTGTTTTTGCTGTCGCTGTTGGTGTTGGTGTTGTTGCTGCTGCTGCTGGTGCTGTTGTTGTGGTGGTGGTGGTTGTGGTTGTGGTTGTGGTTGTTGCTGTTGTCGTTTTTATTGCTGTCGTTGTCATTGTTGTCGTTGTTGTTGCTCTTTCTCTGGAAAAGGAAAGAATAAGAGCAACCAAAGGCACACAATGCTGATAGTGCGAAGCCACTCAGGCAGCATATCTTGCACCACGGGCCCTTGAAAATAGCCATGTTGATGTTATGCGGGGTGCCCGGCTCCCCGCGCTCTTATGCTGATCCATCGAACCTCATGTCACAAAAATGCCTCTCTCGACGACGCTCTCCCTTGTGGCCTGCGAAGGGCGACAAACAGGGCCTGCTGGCCCGATTCTCCGTGCTGTTCAAAAACATTGGCTTTTTACCGCGTTTTCTACGCTTCGATGGATGTTCAAACCCGTGGTTTTGGCGTGGCTTTGGCTTCGCGGAGCTTGGGCCTATGTTGGGCTGTGTTGGGACTATGTTGGGCTGATGTTGAGCCCATCTCCGGCCTATGTTGGGCCATCTTTGTTGGCCTCTGTCGGGCCGTCTTGCACCTATGTCAAGGGCTCTGTTGCGCCGAAGCTTGGCCCGGATCGGCCCCTGGCCGGCTGTCACTGTCACTGTCGGGCGTAAGCCCTTAAATATATACATATGAATGTAGACTGTAATATTTATATATACACGTTCAACTAAACAAGCCATGCGCTAGAGTCTTTTTGTCCACTTTGTGGCAGATTCAGCAGTGTGGCAGGACTTCGGTAGAAAGAACTGCACGATGACGATCACCAGTTCATCTACAACACTTTGAGCTTCAGGCGCTCACTGCTTGCGGAGTGGGTGCAGTCCGCACCGATACCATTGAGCAATGGGCAGTGGGGTTGCTCCGCCGACCCTTTTTGTGGAGGATAATGACCTTTCAACTGCACATTGCATCTTGCCAAACCATAGTCAAAGGATGACACCAGGACCCCCCCGATACTATACGATGGACCTGTGAATTGTTTCGCTCCAGTGCATATTTGCAAAAAAAAACTGTGAGCAAATGTGAACATCACTCTCTCCCCTCCTTTCGGGCATTTCGGAGCAGCATCATTTTCAGCCCTCCCACTTGCCGGGCCACGCAGGAGGCTTTGGACAGTTTACCCCTTCAAAGGCCCAGACTGAAGATTAACTGTCCTTCCAACCTTTCCAAGTAGAGATCTCATAATATGAATTGCTTTCCTTTCCAAGTGGATCCCACCACACCTCGATCTTCTCTCACGGTCACAGCTTTACCAATTTCTAAGAATGAAAAGATCGCTCGACGCTCTGAGCACACCCACTCCAGTCCGCCCAGGAAGAACATGCAGCCTGGAGTCACGAGACGCATGGTGGACGCGAAGAGTCACGAGGGGGGTTGGTCGAAAAGGCCGAACTCCATGAGTTCTTCCGGACGCCCAGACGCCCAGGCTGAGCAATGCACGCAATGTCTCATGCTGAGAAGTGTACAATGCCCAAACGCCCAAGAGTGTGTGGGTGGTACATCTTGCTGAGAATTCACTGTTGCAAAGCATCCTGCAAGAGATACTGCAACACCCGGAGACCAGCTGGCAGTTTTCATGTTGTAGAAAGTACCAGCACCCTCCAGCAAATTGTACGTCTTCGAAAACGTTGGGTCCTGGTAGAAAGGATCTCAGGTCAAAATGTGGTTGCTTTCGTTGAGTGAACGAGGCTCTGGTTCGTGTTTGCATTTCCAGACATGTCTCTTGAAAACCAAGCATGACCATAAACCACCAGTCCCTATCATTCTTCACGAACATCTTAAGTGAGGCCAGTTTATAACGTCCTTCCAGTCTGTTCTTCAAGTGTGGGTATATCCCATTACCAGGGCCCAGTGGATGATGGTTGGCTTGCAGACCTTTCCCCTTAAAAACGTGACGATCTTTGACTGACGGCTATACTGCTTTGCTGAAGCTTCTAGTAGCTTCTTGTTACTAGTAGTACTGCCAGGAGCTACTAGCAGCGTCCTTGCTCCTAGTACCGATGCCCTTGTTACTGCTAGTGTCTTCTTTTCAAGTTACTACCTTGATGATCCTTGGTCCATTGGGGACCTGGAAACGGTGCCCAGACCAGTGACTCCCCGGGTCCGGCGCCTGCAACCGCCTGCATGGCGCCTGGGTTGCCCAGCCATGATGGGTTGCCTGGGAGCTGGGGAAGTCAATCGAGCTTCTGCCCCCACACGTCTTCGGTCTACAGTAATATAGTTGTTCTTTATCCAAAACACAATTACAATGATATATGCACATACACATGACTTAGAGAGAGAGAGAGGGAGAGAACTCATCAATCTGCCTAAAAACACAGGCAGGGGGGAACCACCGTGAAAACCATGGAAAAGTCATCACCAAAACTGCCACACACCGGGCGTCGGCACGACCGTGAATTGTCCCAGGACCGACCGAGTCCACACCATGCCACGCCTGTGATGATGAGCCGCTTCTCCGGCGCACCCCACCTGGAAACCATCGGCTTTCTTGGCCAAAACTGCCAACGGAGGGTCTGGAAGATCGGTCGACAGGAGCCCCTAGTAGCGTCCTTGCTCCTAGTAGGGTTCAAGGTGTCCAATGATGTCCTTGTGGGAGGATGGAAGGAGGCGCGTCAGTGCCAGGTCGGCTTATACTACAAGCAATTGCTGGTCCACGACCCCAGCCAAGGCCATAAGATGTGCCCAACCCAGAGACACAGCCATCCTCCACTCACTCGGTCGGACAGGCAACCTCACCAGGTTGGACAAGTGAAAAAGGGTCAAACCCCGGGCGCCATGAACCCTTGAAAATTCACCCACCTCCCAAATTCTACTTAAGAACATCGATTCAAAGAAGGAATGGGAACACTGGGAAAACCTGCGCCCAGATCCAACGTCCAGGCTCGCTTGCATAAGGCTTCCCGGCTCTTCCCAAATGGCACTGTTCTCCGTGAAGTTTATCCTATTTTCAAGCTGCCAGGCTCACTGGACAAAACGTGCCATCACCCAACAACATGTATGGCCAACGTATAGAAATGGTTGACAATGCGTTTATTCGTCTTCAGTTGTTGGGCCTCAGTCAGTACTAGTACTAATCGCATCTAATCATATGAAATGAACCACAGACTTCGTAAGTCAATTCGAGCTTGTTCAACATGTCTTGTTTGCTGCATTCCGCCCTAGAAAACCAAATACATTCGCAATATTTGGTGCATCTACCGTTTCACTACCCACACCACACGAGCTTGTCCTTTGTCTGATGACATGGATGATCAAAAGGTGTCTCCCAAGCAAACATGCATGTTCATCCAAAACAAAAGAACGCCCCTACAGCGGCATCCTTGGTGAGCTCATTCTCATGTTGCACATCCTAGGGGTCCAAGTACATCCTCAGTTGGAACCCTCCAAGACCGCTTGAATCGTCCAACACATCACCCTCTCAGAGGGCATGTGGCTCTCGGGCATTCTCCATGAAAATATGTTTTTGAAAATCACACCTGAAGAATCCTTGGACCCGACACTTTCGCAGGGGTCCGGACCCACCCAGGATTGGTTCGGGTGCCCGGATCGTTTTTGGAGGTATCGAATCGAAGGAAGATCATCGGAACATCGATTCTGTGTTTGGAAACGGTGCCCAAACATGAGAGTTCGGAGTGTCCCATAGCCCGCCAAGCGAATGGGGAGACCGGTTTCGCGGTCCTGTAGGTGCCCAGCTCAAGGCCTCCTGAGAGGTGGTGCAGAGATATCCAAGATGTCATGTCACAGGCAATATCTGTCATCAAAAATGAATGGAACAAATACAACTTTAGTTGTTGAATGTGAAATGTGAAATGAACAAAAGATGTTGTTTGTTAGAATACCGATATGGGTGAATCTGCAGGGACGCTATGGGTGTATCAAGACCCCAACGGTCAACTTGCGAACGGATTCCGACGCGAGAAAAGTGCGTCCGCCGTGACCCTTCTGGGCGTCGCTTCAACGAAAGGAACCACCAAAGGCACTGCTGTATAAACCCCGCAGCATCTGTTGTGATGTGTCAGAAGCTTTTTTGAGGTATCAAATGGTATCCGATGCTAATGTTTTTGTTCAATCTAGAACATCAAGGACCTCTGTCAGGGCCAGAATATGAGGTATGGTGAGCTTGATTGGCCATTGGACCAAATCACCCTGATGGCTGACCATCTTTTCTGCTAGAGTCTGCTGCATCTTTGTGCCCATCATGACTGGATTCCGTGCTCTGACAACAAAGACCGAACCCGGAGCTCAATGCAGGAAACCAGATGGTGTTCACATGTTTTCACTCCCGAAACGATGGGTTTCCGGTCGATTTTCCCTGACACAATTCTGAAGAAATGATTTAATATAGCACTGAGAGTTTTCACAATGTTGAGAGCTTCAAGCTACGAAACGGAGCAACGATGCGCCACACCCGGGCCCGGTTGATGCTGATCTTCAAGCACCATCAGATGGAGCTTTATATATGAAGGTGGTTTCGGTCGCAGACCTTTCCCAGTGAATAACACAGTCTCTCTTTAAGAAGTGACTGGCCATGAGATACACCCTCAGCCCACCGCAACGGTGCACCACCGGAACACCGGACGCTCGGAAGGTCGGCACCTTCGACATAGCCCCAAAGGTTGCGCACGGTCTGCCCAGGTGGGGTACGTTGCCACACCTGGGCCCGAGTTCGGTGCAACGTATTCTTCCGTGCAACTTCCGAGAATGGCTCTGCTGAGAGGATGAGATTTCACCCCCAGATGGAGATGCGAAAAAACACCATGGGACACACACCGAACGTGCGAGTGGGTGCTGCTCCGACCCCAATGTTGTTGTTCTTTTTACACCGATCCAGCAATCTGTCAGAAATCCGATATTACTGTTCGCCCACCAAAAAGAAGAGTTTCCAGGTGATGCTCTGAACTCTAGAATCAAAAACATCTCTCCACCTCTCCAACTTCCTGTGCAAGACTTCTGTTGATTTCCCAGCCTTCCAGTGCTCGAGTATGTCTGGAGTCAACCAGCTTGCGCGAGAATTCTGCAAGTAAATAGTGCCATTGTCCTGCTGTGAATTCGGGCTTAGCCGCTCACGATCTTGCGAACGAAGGTCAACTTCAGGGTGATGGAGATGGGCATCAAGTGGTGTCACGAAGGTCTTGTGCTTCGGCAGAAGCTGCTCACATACTTCTTAGAGGGGATTCGGTACATGGTGTCCTTCTTGGTGTGTACTTCTTAGAGGGGATTCGGTATAAAAGCTTTGAAAATGTCCAAAAAGATTGAAACGGCGTCCAACACAAGAAGACAACAATTGAAAATGTTTCATAGTGTGTCTATACTTTTATATTTGGGGACCCATCACCGCCCAAACTGGTGACTGAGAGCTTCAAGTGTTTGTCCCAAAGTGTCTGTTGCATTCTCTTGTGCTGTCCCCTCTCGTCTCAGCAAACAGGAGACGAGCTGCTCGTCTCCAGTTGGTGGATCAACCCTTTGTTGGCCTCCCTGAGGAGCCGAACATCTTTGGCGAATGGCAAGTTCTCACTATGGCGAGTCACTTCTTCCAGTCCTCAAAAATCCTATTTACTTGGCAGCACGAAGGAACTTCCAACACAGCACCAGGCAGCAAACGCGGTTGGTTTCCCATTCTTTTGGGGTAGTCCAAGGCCAAGACAATGAACACCTTCTGTCGGGGGCCATGAACAATAGCGGCGTGCAAAGCTTGTGCAAGAACCTTCTTGCAGGGTATCTCAAATCTGTTCACAATGAACGCGGCTGTCGTAACTGCAGGGACTAAGCCCCGTTACCAGTGAAAATGAAAGAAGCACTGCACCACGATGCCAGATGGTGCAGAATGTTGTCCATCAATAGTGGCCATTCAACAAAAAAAAGACTAAATCCTCACATTAGTTCATAATTGATAAATACTGTAAAAACCCTCTACTCTACCAGAATGGTTTTACATCTCCATTTGGGGAGGGAATTTATATACTAATTACTCAATAGTCGACATACGTCTACATGGCATCTGCTTCAATGCTTCTACCCGGCACCCCGGACCCCGAACCGCCAAGCTTCGCCGTGTCCACGCGAGGTCGGCCGGAGTGACCACTCCTGAGTGACCTTGTTGAAGCTCTCATCGTCCGCCGGAAGTGCCACGCGACTTTCGTCGATGGTCACGGCCTGGAGGGAAATTCATGTCAAGAAGTGCAAAGATTGCAACTTAAACTGCTTAGAGAGTGACAAGGGATAAGAAAGATTGCTTGGGAGATTTAAAAAGAAAGGCACAGAACGATATACTGGGAGATTAAACTCCAAGTTATGTGTTTTGATACTATTCAAACCCTGGTGTCTTGCGGAAGGGTGGAGCTTCAGGACCATCCCTGTGCGCCCATCCTGACCAGCTAAAGGCAGCCAAGGCAGGTAAGGGCCGATGACAAGAAAACATCCTCGGTGTCCTCCTACCATCGCCAAAAACGAGATCTTTTTGTGCACCGGCTAACCCTTGTCGTTGTCGTTGCCTGACATTCTCCTCGTATCCTCGTCGTCTTTGATGGGACGAACCGGCACAGTGCGCTCTCCGGTGTTCAAACGGAGCAGGGTTGATGAAGCGTTCCAAAGATCCCATAAAGAATACCAATCTGACTGAAAGCAAACTTCTTTTACTTCAGTGGGCAAAGTATACATAGTCATAGTCTTTAGACTTCCAGCATATCCAAAGGGCTTGGGAACAAAACCCCCACCACATGCCACGTGGCTGCCGATGTGCGGCCTGTCGGCGACACCCCCGACGGGACACTGGCCGCCTCCCAAGAGGCGCCCAGATCGCGCTCGAAGAGATAGGAGTCCTCGGAGCGATGCGCCACATGGAAAGAGCGGAGCAATGAGTTGAGATGGGCTGCGCGACTCTCAAGAACCGACTGATTCCACTGCTAGCTCATGAAGGAGCATGGGAATCAAAAATAACTTAAAATAACAATATCACAGAGTTTCACAGAGGGTTCTTGAAGGATATGTCGCGATATCAATCCTTGCTTTGGCCTTTTGGCAGTGTCTTGACATAGTGTTGAATACTAGTTTTCCTTGATACCTAACACTTGTATTTGTATGATCGCATATCTTTTGCTCTCTTCAAAACTTCCTTTACTTCCTGTCCAATAAAGGTCATCCACCGAAATTTGCTGGACTTCTTGCAGGACCTTCAACACGCCATAATACGTTTTGTTGCTGGGACTATAGTCTATAGGTTCTCCACCCATCACATACCCAGGCCGCTGCAAAAAAAGAAACGGAAAAAACAAAAGTGAAAAATAAACAAAAAAATGAGTTCCGCTGTCTGAGCCCAGGCCGCCGTGAACAGCGCGATGTTCACCAACCCGCATGGGGCTAAGCTGTCAGTGGGCAACCTGCCAGCGTTCGCATCGGTTCGCGGTCCGGACGGATTCTCGATGAATAAATCGTGCGGATGATGCGAAAGACAGTGCCATTGATGGATCGCAGCTCTTGTTAGAACAGTTGATTGATCACAGTGTTATGATAGATAGAATGATTATAATTCTGAATATATGATAAGATATGAATATGATTATGATAGAATATGAGAAGTAATTAGACATGTTCATCCAAGGTTTGAGATGGACATGGACATACCTCCACACATCGATGGCCCGGTCATCGTCCGCCTGGCCATAAAGGCGCTATCGCTGCCCCGCCGCTTTTGTGCCCATTCATAGGTGTCAGCATTGCTGCAGGTGACGGTACTGAAAAAGGTATACACCTGGGCTGGACCAAAAACGGCCGGCCCGGCTGTGCGGCGTGCAGACGGCGCCTGACGCGTTTTAGGCACATTGACACACCGTGGGGGTATGTGCAGACCAGCCAGTCCAAATGTGGGCCTTTTCGGGCTTCGCGTTTTTGGAGAAAATAGGAATAAAATTTCCAGCTGACATTTGAGGAATCTGTGACTTCTCCATTCTCACCATGAGCCGAAAAAAAGAGGTGTACTGTAGTACGCGGGTGCGGTTCCGATCCTTGGTGACGGGGTCTGTCACTGCCACGAAATTCGGATGGCAAGACGTTTACTTCACTTCAAAACTCAAAGCTGGCAAGGGCAAAAGAGGGCCTGCGGGTCCTTGGAGTCTTATCTTGAACCACACCAATATTTGGAATCAAAACGTGGTCAAAGCCACACCATGATGTTCAAGAGCTGTAGAAGTTTCGGAATAAATGAGTTTGATCCATGCCCGCAACGAATTCTCTTCCACCCAAGGAGATGCCACAAGACGCTCCAGTACACTCTCTCGACTGGCACCTCCCAACCGGTCTCCCTCTTGGAGAATTCTTTCCTTCGATCTCAATGTGTGACCCTCTTTTTCAGGATGCTGGTCATCGATGGGTCTATTCAAACAGGGAGATCCTCTTTCTCCCATGGGTCCCACTGGTCCATTATCCCTACCAACCACGGGGTCATTGCTTGGGGTCTCCGGGTCTTCGATCCCAAACTCGCCGACAGGATCGCGAGTTTGGTCGGGCCCGCCAGTGACTGAGCATCCGCACGGAGTCCTTATCCTGGCGGAGACGGCTCAGGTGCGTGCGTAGGTACCCGGAGTTCGAACACATGTGCCATGAAACCATGTAGACTGTAGACTCTTGATGAATACCCCCCTCCATATGACGAGGTTTTACAATCGGTTTTACATTCCAAATGGGGGCTTGATTTTGCTGAAGACTCTGGTCTACAGTTTACGTTTTTATACCAGCACCCTCCATCCAGAGTCACAGCCGATCTCGGAAGGGTTCTGGTACTTGGCTGCATGGAAGTGGTCAGAGCTCGCTCTTTTTTCGCCTGAAGGAGTGGTTTGCAACCCAAGTCCCCCATGGCTCCAGCAAAGCCTTGTTCCTAGTAGCGATGCCCTTTGCTCCGCTCGTAGCGTCCTTGTTCCTAGTAGTAAGGTCAGGAGCACCTAGTAGCGTCCTTGCTCCGGCTTAATCCATGTTTTATTCTTTTCTAAGTCGCCTTCTTGTCGTCGCTCTGCGGACAAAGAGGTTCCCAAATTAAAGGTGTCAAATGTCGACATCCAATTCCACCCCCTCTCTCTCTCTCTCTCTTGAACATGAAATGCTTTGGAAAGCCATGGCGGCTGCCGATCCATTCTCGCACACTCTCACCGCAGCAATAGAACACTTCCAAGTGGTCATTCTGCGAAGCCGTCACTGACGCCTGCTTGTCAGCTCCGGCCTACAGCAACAACGGCACCACTTCCAGGTTGCGATTCTGTTGGGTCCGCCGAATTCTTGTCAGCTCCAGCCCCGAGCAACAACCGCACAACTTCCAAGTGGTCACAGTGAGCTGCTCAAGAGGGGGGGGGCTGCGAGTGTCCCAACCTGTCGCGGGTTAAGGACACGCAAAGCCACTCGCTAGGCAGAGTCCTCAGGGAGTCCTCAGTGAGCTGCTCAATGCAAAGGTGGAGTCTGCACCTGTCCTATTGGGATCCAGCGGCTTCTGGAGCAAACTTGCAACTTCAGCAACTCGGTTCTTCTTACACGCCAAGAGTAGTGCCTCCCAAATGGTCTCCTCAGGTTCATAAAAGTCCAGGATTACCAGTTGCACACTTGCTAGGTTTGCTTTAAATTCATTGTTTGTGTATATATATATAAGTACTGTAAGAAGAATGTGTGGGCTAGTTCCTGAATTTGGATTCACCTCAGCCTCCTTACTTTGCTCATTCTGAGCATCTTGAGATGTAAGCTAAGGAACCTGCACCTTTCCAGCCAAGAAGAAAGTGAGGACCAACAACGACTGCCTTGATTGATTAGGTGTCCTTTTCAACCCTTCCTTTAGTATTCAGGGTGTGAGCTGCTGATCCTAAGCCAAACAACTTCTTCCTTTCATCCGACACCTCTCCGTCACCGACGGAGTCTTCAGCTCAGTCAACGGTCCCGCCTTGCTACTCACATAGTCTTTGTTGTTTAACAAGACGTCTGGAATCTCATAATGGATCTGGACAGTACCTGGCAAGCTCAGAGCAGTGGAAACTCACGCACATGCGGTGCGTGAGGTCCCATGCTCTTGTTTGTTCGATTACCCAATGCCATAAACTGCAGGGTGATTGGGTGCTTAATATGAGTCAACATGCCATCTACTTTCATCTACTCTCAATATGAGTGTGGCACGACGTCTCAATCCCCTTGGGTCAGCTTCCCATCGATGGGTTCCAGGCGCCCATGGGCACATAGCTGTCGCTCGGGGAAAACACTGGGTCTAGAGTCTAGAAGCGACGCTCCTGACTACGACTACATGGTGGGAAGGATTGTGAAGACGTAGTTTATGCGAACGGATGGAAAGGTGTGCCCTGGCCCCGTTCTAGCTCTTAGGTCAACATGAAGCTCGCGCGCTAAAGCTCCTTTTTACCTGGTTGGGCACTTGAGCCAAAAGTATATGGCATGTACCTGTATAGCGACTATACTGGGACCCCATCCCTATTGACACCCCCCACATCCGTACTTCGACGGGGAAGGGAGATGAGTGGATGTAAAAACCGGAGAACGAATCACGTTCTCAAAAGTGTATTGGAGGTCAACCAGTATGTCCTATTGAATTGAATTAGCAAAAGATCTTGCATTCGCTTGAAAGTTGGATCAAACAGGCAATGGAGCTACATGCGGAAAACGTGCACCTACCTATGGTATCATGCGATTACCAACGGTGTGAGACATAATCCTATCTCACTCCCATGATGCCAAAACGGTCACCATGAATTACCCGCGATCCCTCAGTACTTGAAGTACCGGAAGTGGCATGTCGGCATGACCCCAATGCTCAACCATTCGTGAGTTGTCGCATGTAGTCAGCGCCGACAAAGCCAATGTAGTCCTTGATGAGCTCAACGTTCCTTGGATTTCCCGCTCGGATCTGCTCCTCGAAGGACTTCAATTTCCTTTCTTGGATATCGGATACCTCTATGCCATAGTAGCGGCATGCAACGAGGATCTCCTTCGTGACATTCTTCCTCTCCGATTTGATGGCGGGACTAATGTCGATGAATTTGTATGGAGCGGCACTTTCGTCATCTGGTTTCTGGTAGTAGCTATATCGGCTCGCTCCGAAGGTCTTCTTGATCATACGTCTGATGAAATTTGAGATGAATGCCAATTTCTCGATGATCTCATCCTGGGTCTCAGACTTTCGAGCCTTTGGATCACTCGTGCTACGCTGAGTGCTGCCGACCTCTTTGAGGTACTTGTGGCTAAGCCCGCAGCGGATTGCAGTGATCATCATCGGATGAACAACATTGGCGTGGAATTCATAGATCTGCCACGCTTCTGCTGCATACACGTCGTCGGTCCATCTGCTCATGCCTACGACCTCGGCTCTCTGGAGACGTCTTGGAAACCCAGTATCCGGATCATTCGGTACTATCGGCCATCTATTGTGCGGAGTGTCATGCCGCTGTCCATCGTCGAACATTCGCAGTACATCTTCACGACTTTCAAAGCAGTTGATGTCGAACGTTGCGTTGGCCAAGCTCTTGATCAACTTCATCAACCTCAAATCAAATTGCTGTGTGACGGCAAAGTTGTGGTCGATGGGGATCGCAGCTTCTTGCGGCAATTCGTCAATCGCGAAGGGGAAAGGCTTCGGAAGTTCATTCCCGTATCCATCTTGAGGGACCTCCCGATACTCGGGTTCGCCTTCAGCTTCGTCCGGTCGTTCCTTCAAAATGATAGGAACTTCCTCCTCTTCCTCTCCTTCGGATTCCTCGATCTCAATGACCTCTTCGGCTGTCTTGCGTGCGTTCTTGATGACTTCATCGATGTTTGCACCTGCAGCTGAAGTTGTTTCACCGGAAGAACTGGCTGGGACATCTTTCGGAGGTGATCGTTGATTGCGGTCCCTTGTCTCCTTGGGTACCACATGTGTGAGCTTCCCATTCGCGATCAAAACCGCTACGCAGTGCGGACATATCGTCAATCGCACATCGACTTCGCCAAGACAGTTAGGACACGGACACGGCCTTGAATCGTAGTCTTTCATCGCTCGGCGATACACGATCTCCTCGAAGAGTTCCTGCCACTCGGTGCTATCATATTCTGGGTAAACACCATTCTCCTCGATCATACCCAACAGCTTTGAGATTTTGGCGTCGTCCTCGGAGTAGGTATCGTCTAGGACCTCAACCGCTAAGCTCTCAAGCTTTTGAAAGCGTGGAATCATGATCGGGTTTCCGTATTTGGACTCCAGAACAAGGTAGCTTCCAGGGTCGGGTTCCCCATTGAGTAACCGGATCCATTCGATCTCCTCAGGCTGTCCGGGTTCCGCATTGTCGCATTGCAACCATGCCCCTTTAACCACATCGAAGGGAACGACGTTCTCAACCAATAGAGAGCCAGTCGCTGAGATGAGAAGTCCGTACTCCTGCAGCTTCCACACCGGAATGTAGAGAACCACTGGGCGATCACTCAATGCGACCTTACGACCCAGCCAAGGTTTACCCTTGTAGCCCTGCTCCCAGGCCCATGGCGGAAAACATGTGAAGTGGATAGAATCCCTTCCCGATGAACCGAGACCTCCCGGCACTAGCCCTCGTCGCATGATTGAAGTCAGCGCTCCGAGATTGGTAGCGTGAAATGCAGTCACCATAGATAGGGCCATGTCGTTGGTCATCCTCGACCCAATGTGGTCGATGTCAATGGTAACGTCATAACCTCCGCCGTCCGTTGAGTGTGCCGAGGTTGCTCTTACAGCCACGGGAAAGCACCATCCATCGCTATGGTGGAGTCTTCCTTTGGAGATTCCCATGTCCTTGAGTTCGTTAATCCATCCCTTCTCCATCGGGTCATCAGGCTCATTGAGTTCATCAGGGTGAACACGGACCGCCAACATTTGGAATCTGACCCTCTTGGTTATGCGGAAACACTCATAATTTTGGTCGAAGTATTTCTCCAAACGCGCCTTCTTGGTCACGATATCTATGTTGCCGTAGTGATAACCGTCTTCCCAAACTGCATTATCACCTAACAGGTCTTCCCATGACACCCATGCACCTTCATCGCATTTGATTGGTGCGAGTCTTCCTCCAGTCCTGAACTGGCGCCCAATTCGATGTCTCAACTTCGCTCCCAATCGACGACTCAGGGCCTGGCTTGTTTGGCTGTATTCAGGTACTCGACAGTCTGGAGTCGGATACTTGTGGTTGCCGTAGTCGGAGTTCTTTGCAGCGAAAGTGACTCCGTTGATCGGTACTAGTTCAACTTTCCCGACCATCGTCATGGGGTCGATCGGCTTGTATCCCTTCTCCCTCCGTGTTGGTAGGGGGTAGAAGTGATGACATGCCTTTGGTGTGAGGGAGCTGGAGTGCACAAATGCCTTCTCGACAAATTCATACACCTGCTTCATATCCTTAGGGCCTGCTTCCACAAGCTTCCGCCCATTGTAGGAATGTGGTCCTCCTTCGACTCCATCAGCACTTTCGATCAAGGTGAATCCGTCATGGTCGAACATTGTCACGACTCTTGCTTTTAACATTTCTTTGCGCTTGAACTCGCTGTCGACCTTTCTTTCTGGAGTGGGCGATGCTCTCTGCTTCTTCTTCTTAGGCTCCTCGGTTGGATGTCCAGATGGTACATCGTCGGGCGCAACCTCTCCCTTCACTCTCTTCTTCCAATCACTCAATACCGAGGTGACTGAAGGTGAAGATGAAAGGGTCTTCTTGCAATTGAGAGTTGTGTGTCCCGACTCCATGCAGTGGATGCAGAATTCTGCCTGCCCGATCTTCCTCTCAAATTCGTCGATGGCTTGCAGTATTGATGTCTTCGGGTCGGACATGTCAACATCTTGCTCCTCCTTCTCCTGTCCACATTCAGTCTCCATATCGACACCTTCGGCCTCGGGCTGGTCAGTGGCTTCTGTTCCCTGTTCTGGTTCTTTCCCAATTTCGAAGAAGTGGTCGATGTCGAATTCAGGAGGCGGCACAGTCCTCATGCGAACGAGAATCAGCGCCACGTTTGCCGCCTCATCAGAGTGCGGGTCCATGGTTCTAATCATCGATCGCTTTCGGTTCTCATACGTTGTCCTGTCGTACAGCGATGCAGTGACGCGTTTGATGGATTCCTCTAATCCCGTCCTCAAAGCTTCGATGTCACCCCATCCTCTGAACAGGTGTCTAAAGAGTTGAGCAATTTCGAACATGCCCAGCAACGCCTCCACCATGTCACCTACCCGTTCCTCTGTGGGATCATCTCCGAATATAGTGCGGAATACATCGGGTTCCAGTATGGTCTTGAGGTATTTGGTGTAGCATACGTTGCCAAGGTCATAGGATCCCTGGAAGTACTTGGCGTTGCCGATTATCTGCTTTTCCACATGGATGCTGGGTCCTCTCCTCGTTTTGAAGAAGTTCTCCGTCATTGTTGATGACAACCTGATCCCCCCGAAGAACGAAATCTCCTTCTGGAAACCTGGATTCTCATTGAAGATGATCATCGCCTCGTGTAAAAACTTCATCAAGTCATCGTGCGGGTTCATCTCTGAGATTGCAATGGTGGGAGAAGATACCGTTTGCCCCATGCCGAAGTTGTGAAGCAATCGAGCACATGCATGAAATCGCTTCTGGACGTAGTCTTCTGCGGACATCCCACGGCATCTGTTTGCTGCTCCGTTGATGCATTCCGCATAGCAATCGTCTTTCAAATCGGAGTCTATGGGATGGCAGACCAGACAGTAATCGCAGCAAATTTCCTCACCCTCCTTAAAGTCATCAATGACGTACCACCTTTGAGTCCTTGAGTATATTGGCTCTGGCTGAAGGACTCCCCAGTACTCATCCATCCATGGCATCTTGTTCTCTCTCCTTACCTTCTCCCTCTTCCTCCTCTCAGACTCATTCTCACCTGAAGGCTCCGCAGTGGATTGGTAAGCATGGCTTCCTCTCACGGAATCTCCGAACAAGTACTGATACAACCTCTCTTTGTCCTGCAACACGTGTTCCAAGTTGGGATCGTGGAGGCTATTCGCTTCGGTCAAGGGATCAGGTGCCATAAAGCAAGAAGCGAGCATCTTTTCTCTGAACAAGTACTTTTCCATGACAGCGTGGACCAAAGAGGTTCCAGACTTCATAGAGTAGGGGTGACCGCTTCCGGCGACCGAAATGGCTCGCCAGAATCTGTCCGACGTTGTGGACATCATGCCATTCAGCGACAGCTCGTCCTTGATCGTGTTGGCTATCTG